TGAGATGATGTGTGCTGGGGGAGTTCTACGTATCTATTATTTTGATGAAGGAAATAAAAGCAAAATCCTCCTTGCCTCCACTCCTACAAAGAACATCATAAATCACAGAATTTTAGCCTTAGTCATGTGTATATTGGCTGTTTTTAATTATGGCAAAGAAGGTACTGACCACAGAAAAAATCTTTCTAAAATCACAGTGGGAAATGAGGTTGAGTTCTCCCTCTGCATGATGCTGTGGGCAGTGGGATGGAGGGGCTGCAGCCTGGGCCTCTTTCTGTTCATGGCGTGTCTGTGGATCCTTTTCACATCGATAGGATCTGTAGTTATATCCCTTCTTCCATTCCTGGTCTTGATAATTTTTTTTTCCTTGACCAATTTTGCTAAGGGTTGCTTAATCTAATTTTTTTTCAAAGAACCAACTTTGGACCTTGTTTATCTTCCCTATTGTCCTATTTTGCTGATTCCTGCCATGGTCATTTTTCATCAGAGGTTTTCAATCTATGGTCCATGGAACCCTCAAGGGTCCTAAATCCACTTCCTGGGAGGCTCCTGGATGTGGCACTGGTGTAAGTCCTACCTGGTCTCCCACTTGGCCCCACAGCACTGGGACAGGCCCTTTGCATACTGGTTCAGAACTTGAACTCAGGCCAACCTGGGCATGAGCTCAGCTGTAAAACTAAAGTAAATAGGTGTGAGGTGAATGTGCCAGTTGCTTTACCCTTAGAGACTCATTTTCTTTTTTTTTGAGACGAAGTCTTACTCTTGTCACCCAGGCTGGAGTGCAGTGGCACTATCTCGGCTCACTGCAACCTCCACCTCTGTTCAAGTGATTCCCCTGACTCAGTCTCCCAAGTAGCTGGGATTACAGGTGCCTGCCACTATACCCGGATAATTTTTGTATTTTTAGTAGAGACGGGGTTTCACCATGTTGACCAGGCTGGTCTCAAACTCCTGACCTCAGGCGATCTGCCTGCCTTGGCCTCCCAAAGTGCTGGGATTACAGGTGTGAGCCAACGTGCCCAGCCAGAGACTCATTTTCTACACCTGTAAAGAGAAAGAAGGTTGCTGTGAGGCTCAAGCTTGCCCATGTGTGCCAAGCAGTCAGCACCAGCATCTTGACATTCTGCCTGTTGGAGGATATGTGAGAAGCCACCTCCAGGACTTATGTAGATGTTATGAATTTTGAATATGATGCATAATGATTAATACAAGCTGATTAATCTATCCGTCACCTCAGAAGTTTGACATTGTTGTGATGAGAACGTTTGAGATTTTCTCTCTTAGTGATATGGAAATGTACAGTCTGTGGCCTCTTAATTCAGTGGCCTCCACCTAGAAGGAAAAGGAAGATAACTGCTGAGTCAGCTAGAGACAGCATATGGTCATGGCTTTAGCAAAAAGAAGAGAAAATTAAGAGCAAAAGAAAATTGCCAAGAAGTGATCAGAAGAAGGAAAAAGAGAGAAGGTGGGAAAAAGAAAAGATAATTTTTTAAGAAGAGAAAGCAAGACAGTGTTTCTCTGTACACGTGCATCACGCAAGAATGCAGACAGATGGCTGGAGCCACAGGGCTGTGGGCCAGCAGGCAGCAGAGAACGGCCCGGCCGGGACTGCGCCCTGCACAGGTTCATTAAGGGACTGTGCCTTAGATTATCTGCCTGGCACCGCAGGTTCAGTCAAAAATTTTGAGCAGGCCGGACGAGGTGGCTCAAGCCTATAATCCCCGCACTTTAGGTGGCTGAGGCGGGTGGATTACCTGAGGTCAGGAGTTCAAGACCAGCCTGGCCAACATGGTGAAACCCCGTTTCTACTAAAAATACAAAAATTAGCCAGACGTGGTTGTGGGCACTTGTAATCCCAGCTACTTGGGGGGCTGACACAGGAGAATCTCTTGAACTCAGGAGGCGGAGGTTGCAGTAAGCCAAGATCGCGCCATTGCACCCCAGCCGGGGTGACAAAGTGGGACTCTGTCTCAAAAACAAAAACAAACAAAATTTCAGAGCAGATACAAAGGCAAAAATAAGAGATTGTAGAGAGCAAATAAACTCTTTGCAATCTTAGGTTACAGACTTCAGGCCTGGCTTGAACTTTTCTGACTAGTTGGGCAAATTCTTTCATCTCCACATTCTTGTAGGTAGAAATAAAAAGGTTGAACTAATTAATTTTTCAAATTTCAATAAAAATTCTTCTATTTTTATGCTTCCAAAAGTTATGTGTTTGTGTGCATGCTTGCGTATGTGTGCATGAGTGTGTTTGTGCACGTGTATGTTTGTGTACATGCGTGTGTTTGTGTGTGTGTGCTGTGTGTGCACCTAAGAGGTGGGAAGAAGCTGAGGATCTTATCTTGCTATCATATTCCATAAGTGGCCTTAAAAAGCAACTGAAACCATAGACCACATTCTGGGTTGAATCTTGTCCCCAACACCTCCAAATTAATATTAATATATCAAAGCTCTAAATGCACTGTGACTGTATTTGCAGAGTGCCTGTAAGGAGGTAAAGGTTAAACGGGCACATACGTGTGGACTGTGATCCAACAGAACTGGTGTGCCTGTAGGAGAAGGAAGAAGTACCAAGGCTCTGTGAGGACACAGTGCCGGAGGCGGCCGTCTGTAAGCCAGGAAAGAGGCCTCACCAGGGACCAGCCTTGCCGGCACCTTGATCTTGAACATCCAGCCTTCAGAACTATAAGAAAATAAATATCTGTTTTTTAAGCCACCCAGTGTTGGTATTCTGTTAAGTTGGCCCAAGTAAACAAATACAGATCAATGGCTGTCCTAAAGAACCACTCAACAGGCTGGGCGTGGTGGCTCACGCCTGTAATCCCAGCACTTTGGGAGGCCAAGACGGGCGGATCACGAGGTCAGGAGATCGAGACCATCCTGGCTAACACGGTGAAACCCCGTCTCTACTAAAAATACAAAAATTAGCCGGGCGTGATGGCAGGCGCCTGTAGTCCCAGCTACTCGGGAGGCTGAGGCAGGGGAATGGCATGAACCTGGGAGGCGGGGCTTGCAGTGAGTGGAGATCGCACCACTGCACTGCAGCCCAGGGGACAGAGTGAGACTCTGTCTCAAAAAAAAAAAAAAAAAAAGAACCACTCAATATTGACTGTCCTCAAACCAAAGTCATTGCTCTTGGCAGACCTGGATACACCTTTGAACACGCCGACCCATTCGATTCGATTACGTAGGGAACAGTTCCAGTTAGTTTTATATCTCAGATACCCTTCATCCTGTAGAGGCAGGGTAAATATTTTTGAATGAATAACTGAACTGCTCTGGGCCTGCTGGCATACTACGCTGCTCAAAGTGAAATATTCAATAGATACTTGTTATAATTTCCTCATAAAATCAGGTGTTGAGCTCTGTGCATTGTCTGGGGTTGGCTTTTCAGGACACGGCCATGCATCTGCAGTTCTCAGAGTCTGCCCTCCCACTCTGGTGACACGACGACATCAGGAGTGGCATGTGTGTGTTGTGGAAGCTTGTATCTGGGAGGCATTCATAATTATGCTGACACAGGTAGATGAGAGAAGACCTAGGACATCAGTCATCAACGGAGAGGACTTGGGATGAATGAGATCTGGGGCAATGCCCCCCAGAAGTGGAGTGGCCAGCACTCCCAAGTCTATGAGGTGGACGGTGCCTAAGCTGATGACATGGGGTCACTTTAGTTATTTTTGGTCATTGCATCCTACCCTCCCTGCCGTGAAAACACATGGCCAGGAAGGGAGACATAACTACCTAGAAAAGGAGACTCTGATATTGACAGGGTAGCATTGCAGTGTCTATTCTGAGAGGACATAGTTGGTTAAATCCACCTTCAATAAAATCTGCCTGAAGTATTTCCTGAGCCTGGTCTTGTATTTCTTGCCATATAGCAATGACTCCCAACCTGGTGGCACATCAGCCCTTTCCCAGATCTACTGAATTAGTATCTTTAGGTCTGAAGTCTGGAAAATATGTTTCTTAAAACACTTCCTGTCCATTTCAGATGCAGCTAAGCCAGCTCTTACAGCAGGCACTAGGAGCTGACATGGTGTGGATGAAACCAGCAGTTTGAGTGTTCTGGGGTCTCCGCTTTAAGTTCTGATGCAGGAAGTCCTGATAGAGAAACCCGCACTGAAGAAGGTTCTTTGGCTTCCCTCAATGCTTTTTTTCCCTTCAATAATTTTTGAGACTAGAAAGAGGTCATGAGACCAAACATTTAAGGACTGATGTAGAATTGTCTGAGGCTCTAGGGCAGTACTTGATAAATATTTGAGCAGATCTAAAACTGCTTCCTGAAGATTCTCTACTGTATTTTGCAGGTTTCCATCTATGCCACCTCCATAAGGTGGGATGGTCCAGTTCCAGGAAGGATGTCGCTGATGATGGCTCCACTGGCTTTCATCAAGAGCTAACAGTGATGTAAAGAACATTTAGGCATCTTCTGCCGGGCGCAGTGGCTCACGCCTGTAATCCCAGCACTTTGGGAGGCCTAGGTGGGTGAATCACAAGGTCAGGAGATCGAGACCATCCTGGCTAACACGGTGATACCCCGTCTCTACTAAAAATACAAAAACTTTAGCCGGGCCTGGTGGCAGGCGCCTGTGTGGGCTGAGGCAGGAGAATGGTATAAACCCGGGAGGCGGAGCTTGCAGTGAGCCGGGATCCTGCCACTGCACTCCAGCCTGGACGACAGAGTGAGACTTTGTCTGAAAAAATAAAAAAACAACAAGGACATTTAGGCATCTTCGAGAAGCTGCATTTAAGGATACTACCCATTATGTTATATGTAATTCAAATACACACATAACAATTTTCTCCAAAAAGTGTTTCTTGTTATTAGATATTGAGATTATATGACTCATTACTTTAAACTTTGTCTCTGCTACTAGGTAGCTCAGAGCTAAATTTTGTGCTCGTAACATAATAATTAAGTGTGAGATAAGAAGACAAAACACAATAGACATTGTAATGTTTTAATTCCTCAGGAAAATAAAAGGGTAGGTGTGCATTAAATGGTTGAAGATAAAAATCTCAGAATGCTGTAACCAGGGAGGGTTTCCAATGTGCACATGAGTGCCAGAGAAGGATGTTTTTTGAGTAAAGACTTTTTTGAAATAGTAAAAATTACAGTTACCCTTGAGCTGGGGGAACGCTTTGCATATTGCCTCATAATCCTCACCAGGGTCACCTATGTTCAACTATCCCCACAGACAGAAGATGAAACAGACATGGAAGTTTAATGAAAGACATGGATAAATGACAGCATCAGTGTGGGAGCTCCAGCCTCCAGGGCACCAAAACCCACCTTGAACCATGGTGTGGTTCTCCCGCGCAAGGCTGAGGGGTGCTCCGTCTCCAAGCCGGGCCATGGGGCCACCACTACAGCTGTGTCCTTACCCAGCCAGCATCTGGACAGAGGCCATGCTGGGGAACCACATCAATCCAGGTTTCCCGCAGGTCACCAAGGCCTGCAGGTGCATTTCTGTTGATGCAAGTGTCCTTGCTTACTAGAGAGACTGTTATTTTCAGACTTTCTTTGAATGATATACAATGGTTGGTTGAAATTACCATGCTGAAAAGCAAAGATCCCACAGATCACCCACCCTAATCTGAATTGCATAATTTCTAGGGAAACCCCAAAATTAATGGTTCTGAAAACTTGGCATCCGCTTTTCTAGAAATAAGGCAGATCAACATAAAAACCTATCTTAAAGTGCCAGCTATTCTCTAAATAGATGGAATTAAGGCACATACATGCTCAGCCTTTGCAACTGGCAATACTTTTACTTACATAGTGGCACCCAATTTTCTCTCCTGGGGTGGAAGTCCCCCTCAGTCCCTGCTATGAGCCAGCACAGTTATGGGAGAATTTGATAATAATATAATAGTTATCTAATAGTCTAGTCATTATTCCAATTGACCCTTTAATTTCCAATTGGTATGACCTCCCAGTTTGAAATTACTTTAGGCAAAAGAAAAAAATATTTTAGTGAGTGTATATAGGAGAAGTCCCTAACCTGGGACCCATGAGCTTCCTAAAATATATGCAAATTATATGCAATGTTTTGTTGCTATGTGGTACATGGTTTTAGGAGTCTTTCTGGAATATAGCTTTCATGGAGATTTGTGACCCCATAAAAGGTCAAGTGTCATTGCCAAATAACCTTACAGTATTTGACTATCTTAAAAATCCTGGTAGTGATGCTTAAAAATTCTAGTAGTGATTAACACCATCAAACCTTTGTCAACTCCTGGAAATCACAGAACCTTAGGTTGAGCGCCACTCTGAAGAAACCATGTCATGTAAATTGTCAATCCCTCAGTGGTCTCTTCCTGACCAGTTTTCAGTGTCCTCCTCAAAAAGAAGCACAAGTCACTGAATTTCTCTTTTATTTAAGCATTAAGAAATTGGAGCATAGCAACTTAGAAAACTTTCTCAAAATGTCCTTAACAGTAATGAAAAGATATCATGTGTCACGTGTCAAACTTTTTTTTCTGTTTGTTTTTTATTGAGGCTCATTGACCAGAGAAACATAAATGTTCCACTCATCTGCTTTTAAAGTAGAGAACAAGGCCTACAAACTCTATTTAATAAATGCAAATTACGAAAAAATGTGCTTAGTGTTGTATTGTGGCCAGTTAAGAACAGGAGATGCTGGGACGGAGCCTGGAGAAAGAGCGGGAGAAGAAAGGAAATCAAAATGAAGCAGCTGACAGGGACATCAGGGAGACACACAGGTGCAGTGACAGGCCACGGCAGCAGAAGCTCAGCTTGGAAGACAGAGGCTGCAGAAAGTCGGTCCCTCTAGGATGCCACCAGGGAAAAGTCTTCAAAACGTTGTTGTTACTGTGGCCAAGGGCAGAAGTCTAGGCATTTTAATTATTGGTATTTGCACTAAGTGCAAGATGAGACCAAGTTGAGCCACTCCTGCCTTCGGCTTGGAGTCAGTGCACTCTTGCCCCACCCTCTCAGCTCTAGACTGTGTGCCCTGCCCAGGATGGAGCACTCAGAGACCATCTGGGTGGGGGTGGAACAACAGCAGCATCGTCACTTCAGCAAGCATTGCTAGTTTTGCCCCTCTAGTATTAATATATTCGTTTCAAGTAAAAGAAAACTTATCTCCAAATTCAAAGAAGTTATTCAATGGGTAGGTTTGTTTTTGTTTTTGTTTTTGCAACTTATCTGGCAGCTGACCTAGCTCCCAATGAATTAAATGCTTCACATCTAACTAAATGTGTGCCTAGAATCAGAAAGGGGGGGGGGGAAAGAGAGAGAGAGAGAGAGAGAGAGATTAGAGCAAAGACCTCCACGAGAAAAATACAAAATCTGTTTTTAAAAATGTAAGGCTTCAATTTAAAATACAATTAGGACTTGATACATTTAAAGTCTATCAAGATAAACATTAAACCAGTTATTGGCTTTTAAGTCAAAACTTGAGGTAATACATTACTCTTCTATAACCAGCCTTATCTGATTATAACATTTTATTTCCTTCTCATCCTTCCAGTTAGATATTCTCAGATACATGGAAGAAATATGTAGAAATCAGCCTCCAGTTAGCGGGGGAAAGGGTATGGTTATGAAACAGCAGAGGAGCTTTACTCTCTATTCAAATAATACACAGAAAAAATGTAATCAGCCAAGCGGTTTCCATGGAAGCGCTCATTGACCGGGGTTCACCAGCGCCTGGCGATGCCTACCCTTCCGCTTTGGTGACTGGAAATTCGGTTAACTGAGTTTCAGGGAATTCTAATACCCTCAACATTTTTCTGACTTGGGAGAAAAAATCACAAATGTAGCACCGGGTCTCAGCTCTGCAGGAGGCCACCGTCGCGGCCACCTACCCTGGGCCATCGCCCACCGCACTGTCCAGGGTGCCCGGCAACGGCTGAGGGTGACACCGCAGGGGGTGCAGATGTAGCCCTGGGGAAGGCCCGCCTCCAGGCAGAGGGTCTCTGGGACCTAGACGAACCCTGGGGCTGGGGGCGCCGAGAGGCATTTTCTCAGTTGCTTAATTCCCCACGAACTGCATGGACACTCGGGGACGCCAAAAGGAGGCCAGAGTGGGGCAGAGGTGAGCTACTGGGATAGATACCACCAGTGTGACCGAGAAAGGCCCGGGCTGCCTGCTGGTGAGGGCAGGAGGGGGGCCGTGGCCGTCGGGTGAGTCTGGCTGCGGCCCACGCGGGCCAGCTTGCTCACGGGTGTCCCGGAAGTGGGCGCTGGCGGCCAGAGGAGACTGCGGTCTCCCCCGAGGGTCCCCAGGCGGAGTGGCGCGTGCAGGAGGTGATGTGGGATCAGGTCTGGCCTGTCCCCGCAGGACCGCTGGGCTCACAGCGTGCTCAGGTGCCGCCGTGAGTCCAGGGCCCCGGCCCGGCCCCGCGCGGCAGCCGCCGACTCCACGCCGCGCAGCCACTCCGTGCACTTGCGCACCAGGCCCTCGTCCACCACCTCCGGCTCTTCCTCGTACTCCACGTCGTCGTACCTGTGCCGCTCGTTGAGCAGCGACACCTTGAGCATCGGGCGCAGGGACCCGGACCGCGGGCTCAGCTGGGGAACCTGCAGGCCGCCGGACAGCAGCTGGGCGCGGGGCGGAGGGTCGCGGCGGCCCAGGCCAGCTGCTGGGGACGCGTCGGGGTCGCTGGCGGGGCCGCCCCTCCGCAGGCCCGCGGCCCTGGCCCGGGGACAGGGAGTGAGTAGGCGCCTGGGTTCGGCCGAGGGTGAGGGGAAGGGCCTGCGAGGCCGCGCCAGCAGCTGCTTCTCCAGATGACGCCTCTGGATGACCAGGACGGCCTCGGGGGTGAGGTTCAGGGAGAAGCGCGCAGCGGTGTCAGGACCGGCCCCCGTCCCCAAGGAGGTCCCTGCGGCGGTGGTCCCCGTCCCTGCCGAGGTCGCCGCGTAGGTGGTCCTCGCTGGGCTGTGGCCGGAGCCGGCTGGCCGGGGCTGGGCGCACGTGGCTGCGTTCAGCGCGCGGCAGGGCGAGGCCTGGGGGGAGACGCCCGGAGGGACTGGCAGCTGCGTCCTGTCCCGGCCGGGGCCGCGCCGGGCCGGCGGCCTCTTGAGCGTGGCGGAGGGCCAGGAGCTGGAGAGGAGCCCCTCGGGCCGCTGTGGGGGCCTCTTCTTGTCCCCCGCGGCGCAGGGCCTCCGGGGTAAGTGGCGCGCGGCTTGGGCCCCCGGTGCGGGGGCGGTCTGCGGCTGCACGGGAGGGAAGGGCATGGTGCTGCCGAGACGCGGGATCCTCAGCCCCTAGAAGAAGAGGCGGGCGTTCAGCCACTGTGCGCGGAGCGGTTCCCCGCAGTTCGGGCTGCTCCGCCACACCCACCTGCGTCCCGCCGCGGCCTCTCCGGCTTCCTCACATCCCGGAGACCAAACCCGGGGACTCCAAGAGAGGAGCTCCCACCCTCCCCTCCTCCTGGGGCCAGGGGCTCCCCTCTGACTCGGTGCTTCCGAGACTGGACCCTGCGGGAACCGCCTCCCGCCGTCCGACTGTGGGCGAGTCGCGGCGCCCCAGGGTCCCCACGGCTGAGACGCGGGCCGGGCCGGCAGGAGGAGGAGCCCAGCGCGCTCGCTAAGGACGCGGCCCTGCCAGGCCCCGGGCTGTGCCCAGCTGGTGTCACTACCGACTGTTGAATGGGAGCAAAGTGCCAGGACAGCGGAGGGCGGAGCGCGCTCCAGGCATCCCGGGGCTCCCCCAGCTGGCGCTCCGGTGGCCCGAGGTTAATTTAGTCCATCGAAAGCCAGGAGCAGCCCCCTGGGGGAGCCGGCAGCCTTCCGGAGTCATAGGTGGAGGCCCTGCACATTTGAGAGAAAATCCCTCGTAGCCTTCCCCGTGCCTTCGAGACAGCAGGAAAGGCACCGCGAGTAAATATAGCTCTGCTGCCCCACACATCCTGCTTCACAGAGAAAAGCGGGCTGGAGCTGAGAGGGGAGAAAAGACCTTCGGTGAATCTTACATAGTGTTCATGGCCACCCCTTGAGGAGTCACTTTCAAATTCTATTTGAATTTAATTATATCTAAGTATCTATGAACAGGCAAAATAGTTCAGTTTCAGCTATATAATGCTGATTACATAGCAAGTATTAGATATTAAGTCCCTTTAATGATTCCTGTGAGCAAAACAATATATTTATCACTGTAGCAGAGATTCAGAATTAATGAGATAAATCTGCACTGTCAATTTACATTCTGGTTGTAGACACATGAAGACATCCTACGATATTCAAATGTTTGTTTAATAAATAATTGAACAGTTGCAAAGTGATGGATCAAAAAGTCAACGTTTCATGTGTGCAGTCGCTGCATTACTTCAGGATAATCATCAACTGCTTAGATCTCCACAAAGTACTTCCCATCAGATACGCTTTTCTGCTGGAAACCAGGTGTGTGATGGTTATGGCCCCAGGTGAGCTCCAAAGCACATTCAAATGTGGGTAAACACAAATGTGCCCTGTGCCAACAGTCACAGCAGGACAGCATCGCCCTCCCCCCCAGTGCCTCAGTCTCCCAGGCAGCAGCAACGCCTCCCCCTGTTGACTGTTGGTGGCCTCAGAGAACTGCACTGTGGATACAGGGGAGAGTCAAGGAAACCTGGTAGGTGGTGGGAAATGCTTCTCACCAGAGCTTGGGTTGGGGTGACAGGTTTGGGCTCCATCATCTCTACCAGCACCTCCCAAACCACCCCAATACAGCTTTGAAACAAACCTCCCAGTTCACAAGCACCTTCCCTCCATCCCTGCCAGCCTGTCTCTGCCCGTGGGCTCAGGCTGTTAATCGGCTTGACAGGTGAGGTCCTAAGATACTGAAAGCTCCCCCACAATGTGTTTTATTCCAGGTTTTAGAATCTCTGGGTGGGTGTGGGAAGAGGCACGTCAGTGGCGGCAGGAGGTCCACAGTTCTGTGCCTGGAAAGTGGAGGATTGGAAGGGAGTGTGAGGAAGGAGAGGACGGGGGTGGGGCGAGGGGAGGTATCAAATATCATTTATGGGGGTCACAGCTGGAGAGGCAGGCTATGGAGAAAAATCAGCGAACACTTGGACACTCAGACTTCTGAGTTTGGAGCCCGGCAGTTCAAAAGCGGTGATGGTGCTGGTGGCAATGTGTGAAATTGGTGGGCTGGTGGGGTGTTCTCTGCTTCCTGTCTCCTTACTCTTAGGATGCTTCAGAAGGAATGACAGTTTGGGGGTGAGAGTGGGTTAGTGGCCTCATAATGCTTCCAACTTCCACTGCTATCTCCATTCTGCTGGGACACTGGGCGTACAGAAGCGAGGTAACTACGCACCTGCCATCACACGGCTCTAACGGGACGGAGGAGATAAGACTCCACCCCAGGAGTGCGAATCCAAGACCAGATTGCAACTTTTACACTAAAGCTGAGAGGGAAAAAGTCTTGTTAGATCAGGATGACTGGATTAAGTGACCCCTCACCCACAAACTAGTAGCGATTTGGGCCTTTTTAAGCCAAGAAAAGTGATAGTTTGTCAGATTAATGCACATGTCTGACCGGACGAGGAACTGGGATTCTCCAAGTCCTCCCAGACGACTCATCCCAGCCCAGAAGCTTGGAGACGTGGAAAGCTGTAAGTTTGTGTGACCCTTAAGAGGCAGAAAAGTACATTCTGAGTGTCCGCTACCTCGTCACCAGGCTAGGTAGGAGGGGCAGTGCCTCTCCCCTGTCTCCCCAGAACCCCCAGAGCAAAGCATGCCCCTATGAGGGGTTCTGAGCTCGGGTTCTCATGGCAGGCTGCAGCCCCAGGAGTGACGGAGGAGTTAGCATTGCTGACGGACTCTCCCCTCTTCAGACTCTGATAAAAGCACCCAAATGACAGCATCGCTTGTCCCCTGCCCAGCTACTTCTGCTACTTGAAACCTTCAGCTCCTTATAAATTAGAAGTTAGAAAGATTGGCTTGGGCCTGGAATAGAACGTGTGAAAGCAGCCTCTGTCGCTGGCCCTCACTGGTGCTGTGGCTGTTACAGAATCCGTTACAGGCTGGGCGCGGTGGCTCAAGCCTGTAATCCCAGCACTTTGGGAGGCCGAGGCGGGTGGATCACGAGGTCAGGAGATCGAGACTATCCTGGCTAACATGGTGAAACCCCGTCTCTACTAAAAATACAAAAAAAAACTAGCCGGGCGAGGTGGCGGGCGCCTGTAGTCTCAGCTACTTGGGAGGCTGAGGCGGGAGAATGGCATGAACCCGGGAGGCGGAGCTTGCAGTGAGCCGAGATCACGCCACTGCACTCCAGCCTGGGAGCACAGCGAGACTCCGTCTCAAAAAAAAAAAAAAGAATCCGTTACAAATACCCTTCGGTTGACACAAGCAGCCGGCAGCAGTTCCCAGCAAGGAAAGCCACGCCAAAGAGATGGCTACGTTTAACTTCAGAACAGCAGGTGTAACTGAAAAGCGATTAAAGAAATATAGTAGCTGGTTGCAGTAGCTCACGCCTGTAATCCCAGCACTTTGGGAGGCCAAGGTGGGTGAATCACCTGAGGTCATGAGTTCAAGACCAGCCTGACCAACATGGTGAAACTCCGTCTCTACTAAAGATACAAAAATTAGCTGGGAGTGGTGGCATGCGCTTGTAATATCAGCTACTTGGGAGGCTGAGGCAGGAGAATCATTCGAACCCGGGAGGTGGAGGTTGCAGTGAGCCGAGATTATGCCACTGCACTCCAGCCTGGGCGACAGAGCAAGACTCCATCTCAAAAAAAATAAAAATAGTAAAATTTAGCTTATAGTTTACAAGGGATTTCTCATAGCTTGCCCAGAACACAATAATTATAACTATTCATATATAATATTAAATAGTAAAGCTTGGGTGCTAGAATACTGAGATCAGCTAACCTGTCTCAGAACTATATTTTGGGGTTCACCTGAACAAGAGCTGATCTCTAAAATGCATGATTACATCTTATCTAAATGTACTGTCTCAAATAAGTTGGTTGATTTAAAAGGTCAACTAAGCAAAACCAAATACAGTTGACCTTGAATCCCACGGGTTTGAACTGTGAGGGTCCACTTATAGGAGGATTTTCCTCTGCCTCTGCCACCCCGAGACAGCAAGACCAACCCCTCCCCTTCCTCCTCCTCAGCCTACTCAAGGTAATGGTGATGAGGATGAAGACCTTCATGATGATCCACTTCTATACTTAAGAATAGTAAATATATTTTCTCTTAGGATTGTCTTAACATCTTCTTCAGCTTACTTTACTGTAAGAATACTGTATAATATATATATAATACATATAACATAGAAAATATGTTAATGAACTATGATATCGATAAGACTTCTGGTCAATAGTAGGCTATTAGTAGTTACACTTTGCAGAGTCAAAATTTATACAAGGATTTCTGACCCTATGGGAGGCTGGCACCCCTAACCCCCACATTGCTCAAGGGTCATATGTATTTAGAACTGTCCATATTTTTGACTTATGTTTTACATCATTTATGTTTTAAATTTGATTTTCAGATTTCAAATATAACAATAACACAATATTGCCCACATATAGGAATGGTGATTATCCACCTGCCCCACTATTCTGTCAGAGTCAAGTGTGTATCAGAGTTAAAGAATTTCCATTACGACAATCCTTTAAGATATTCCCAGTGAATAATATGTGCACAGAGAATATTTCAGTCACTAAAATAAAATACCAGGAAGATTACATTCAGGCCCAACTAAAATTATAGAGGCAACTGTTCCACAGATTTGAACTGTGTGAACTGAAGAATTATCAAGGCTGCAGCTCAGTGACCCTGCTGTGTAAAGGGCCTCAGATTTGATCATCCCTACTGCCCAGACCCTAGAGAAATGATCCCAAGGATTCCGTGCTCCCACACAGTGCACGCTGGCTGCTCAACTGGTCACTCCTGCGTCGTTACCAGTGAATAAAATTAGAGCCAGTAATCACATCACAACACTAGGAAATTAGCAATTATTCGAAAAAAAGTTTCATTTTGCTCATTAACTTAATTTCTTCTTTTTTACTAAGGCATATAATATTTAAATGTACATTCAGAAAAATTTCAAAATCGGAGCTATTTCAGTACATTGTTTCTCATTATTCCCTGTGGTCTACTTCTTTCTGTATTTTCATTCAAATCATTTTTACATGATATAACAGTAAGCAGTGAAACATCTAGAACTAAAACTAAACCTGAATTTTAACACAGGAAAAGCTTATTCCAGTTTAAAACCAATTTTATTACTTGGAAAACTTGAATAACTTAAAAATGTCTAAATTTCTTCTAACGCTGGTCTGTTACTGTGAAAGGCTTTGGGAATTAACACTTAGGAAATGTGTTGGATGCTAATAATTTTAAAGTATTTCTTTTTCCCCATTATTAAGATAATAGGCAATGTCTATTCCGCACTAAATAATCCACTTTATCTGGATTAGTTATATCATTGAAAGCTCATGAAAGCCCTATGAGAGCAGTACTAGCAATACTTGCATTTTACAGATAACAAACCAAGGCTTACCCAAGTAGCCACACAACTAGCATGTGGCCAAGTGCAGCCTGTCTAGGCAGGGGGCGCCAGAGCACACTCTTCCCTCCATGCGGGGGACGGGGAAATCGCAATTTCTTTGGTCTGGAGACCAGATGGCCGAGAACCCCAAAGAGCTTCTGTTTTGTGGATTTTACCCATTATGTTAACCTTATTAAAAATTTAAATAGCTTTAAATACATATATGTTAGCAATAAACCCATTATGTTAACATATTTTTAATATATTTTTAAAAACTTTTCTAAAACAATCAGAGATGAGTTGTGGACTCAGTAGAAGCCATGGGATCTCGTATCCACTGTGTTCTGTCCTGTGTCATCACGCACCATGGGACCTCAGTAATGCCACTGTGCACTGGGGATAGCAGGAGAGGGGAAAAGAGTGACGCTGGCTCAGTATCACTATGAAAACAGACCCTAACAGGCCTCTGGGCCCCCAGGCGTCCCGGGAACGCGCTGTGAGAAGTGCTGCATTGAGACCACTGACAACCAGCAGCCTTCCTATCAAAAATCCTTAACCCAGTAAACCGTGGATGGCCCAAATGCATTCCATCAACTGCTTTGCTAGAAGAAAGTAGAAAAATAACTTTTAGAGGAAACCTCATTGTAAGCACACCTCACCAGTTCAGCACTATCCTAAGTAAAAATAAGCAAAAAAGTAGCTTACTAATTCAACATTCTAAAAGTATAGGTGATTCTAAAAGTATAGGTGTAAGAAAAAGGTGATTTAACATTAACCACTAAAAAGTCCCTTAACCAAGCAAGTTTCCTAACAAGGAATTTAAATCTTAATTACCATACAAAGGTCCGACTAGACCTAGGAGGAACTCCCTTCAGGACAGGACCATAGATGGTTCCTCCTGGGTGATTGAGAAAAGAGAAAAAAAACAAACCAAAGCCCATGATGGGTTTTCAGTAATTGATAGGGAAACTCTTGTAGAAGCAGAGTTAGGAAAATTGCCTAATAATTGGTCTGCTCAAACGTGGGAGCTCTTTGCACTCAGCCAAGCCTTAAAGTACTCACAGAATCAAAAAACTCTATCTCAATCCTGACTCAAAAGGTTACCTACACCCTCTCTGAAATGAATTTGCATAAGAACTGTTATTTATGGGAGTGCATCTTGATGGGGTGGCTGGGTTGTTATGAAATCCTCAGGAACCCAGCCCAGCCCTAGAACTCACCTCTGAGTGCAAAGACAATGTTGGTCACGCTGGTAAAGGACCACTAGAATCCAGCAGCCCGGACCCCTTTCTTTGTAGTCAAGAAAGGTGGGAAAAGGGGAGTAGGACTGCGACATCGGTGACCGTAACAAATCTGATAGGCAGAGGTCCGAGGGCGGTTACGCACCCTGGAAAGGAATAAGCATTAGGACCATAGAGGACGCTCTAGGACTAACGCTCATCGGAAAATGACTAGGGGTGCTGGCATCCCTATTTTTTTTTTCAGATAGGAAATGTTCCCCCCAAGACAAAAAAGGCCCCTAAGATGTATTCCGGAGAATTCGGCCCAGTCAGGGTATATGTACCTTTTTCCTTCTCAGACTTGAAACAAATTAAAATAGACCTAGGTAAATTCTCAGATAACCCTGATGGCTATATTGATGTTTCACGAGGGTCAGGACAATCCTTTGATCTGACATGGAGAGATACAACGTTACCGCTAGATCAGACACTGACCCCAAATTAGTGTCTGAGAGAAGTGCCGCCATAACTGCAGCCGGAGAGTTTGGCGATCTCTGGTATCTCAGTCAGGTCAATGATAGGATGACAACAGAGGAAAGAGAACGATTCCCCGCAGGCCAGCAGGCAGTTCCCAGTGTAGACCCTCACTGGGACACAGAATCAGAACATGGAGATTGGTGCTGCAGACATTTGCTAACTTGCGTGCTAGAAGGACAAAGGAAAACCAGGAAGAAGCCTATGAATTATTCAGTGATGTCCACTATAACACGGGGTAAGGAAGAAAATCCTACTGCCTTTCTGGAGAGACAAAGGGAGGCATTGAGGAAGCACACCTCCCTGTCACCTGACTACTGAAGGCCAACTAATCCTAAAGGATAGGTCTGTCACTCAGTCAGCTGCAGACATTAGAAAAAACTTTCCAAGCCTGCCTTAGGCCCGGAGCAAAACTTAAAAACACTATTGAACTTGGCAACCTCGGTTTTTTAATACTAGAGATCAGGAGGAGCAGGTGGAACGGGACAAACAGGATTAAAAAAAAAAAAAGGCCACCGCTTTAGTCATGGCCCTCAGGCAAGAGGACTTTGGAGGCTCTGGAAGAGGGAAAGGCTGGGAAAATCAAATGCCTAATAGGGCTTGCTTCCAGTGCCATCTACAAGGACACTTTCAAAAGATTGTCCGAATAGAAATTAGCTGTCCCCTCGTCCATGCCCCTTATGTCAAGGGAATCACTGGAAGGCCCACTGCCCTGGGGGACGAAGTTCCTCTGAGTCAGAAGCCACTAACCAGATGATCCAGCAGCAGAATTGAGGGAGCCTGGGG